AAGGAGATTCTTGTACAGTACAGAAACTTTCCGGAAAGAGCTTAATTGTTTACAGCAATCTAATAAGTTGAATTAATACTAATACTACTATTGTGTATCCAGTGCCAGATATATGCAGAGTGCATTACAGACAGATATTAAAAGACATAAAATGAGATTCTCACTCTTGCCTGAGCCTCCTGTCTGCCATGTAAAGGGGCTGGGGTGATGTAAAGGGGCTCTAAAAGCCCTGGATCCAGCCAATGGAGACCCTCTCTAGCACTGAAGCTGAGGGTGAAGAAGACAACTACAGGCTGACTCTCAGGGACACCCTTATAAGTCCTGGCATAGGGTGTGTGTGTCTGGGGTGAGGCATGTTAGGGGCCAGAGGGGGATGGAGTTGTAGTGCATACGTCTTGTGGAGATCGTGTGGTACTGCTGCCCCCAGGCAGCTGGGGAAGGCTGCCATAGGCAGTGCTCTAGAGTTTGTTATGCCATGAGCTTCTCCAGCCCCTACAGCAGCCTACAGCTGGAAAGGTGTTATGGTGGCTTAAAGCCACTTTAGCTCCCATTTCCCCTGGCCTGAGTCCTGTGCTGCACCTCTTAGAGATACAGAACAGATTCTCAGCCAGGATCTCTACCCTAAGCAATTTACATCTAGGGGCTCCATCCTGTAAACACATGCTACAGAAGGATAGTATTTTTTGCCATGAGTAGCATCATTAATTTCAGTGGAACTATTCACAGCAATAAGCATTAACTTCTGAATGTAATGCTTGCTGGATCGATCCCTAAATGAATTAAGTATGTAACATAACACATAGCTACTAAGAAGATGGGTACTGCAGGGAGATGAATAAGAATAAAGATGTGAGGTTACTCTTTATTGCACTGTATATAGTGGGTTTGATTCTCAGTTACTCTGACGTCCCTGTACACCATTGTGGTAGCATGAAAGGGCCTTTGAGTGGGTATAAATGGACCTCTTAGAATACCTGTACAGAGAGGGCTACTCAGCCAATTTAGAACTGGTGTAAGGGCTTTACACCAGACCTGCTCCAAATCCTAGGCATGGGGGAGGGGAGTGGATCAGTGGCATATCACAAGTGTGACCAGAGTGCACTTCACTGTGCTTATTCTCTGGCCAGAGTGTAAATTAAGAGTCCTGCAGCAGCTCTAATTCACACAAGGGCCCTGCATGGCCCCAGAATATGGGGAGAGCAAAAGTGGCTTAAAGCTGCCCTTGCCCCCAACTGCATCCCTGTTACTGAGAATCTGGTCTCTGATGTTAGCTCCCTTACTCATTTTGTTTTGGTTAAGTTTGGTTAAGTTAAGAGAGAGATTTGAGGAGGAATTTGAAGAATGGGCAATGTGAGGTCATGCCAGTTATGTGGGGAGTACAGAGTAAACTTTTTTTTAAATAGATTTTTTTTCCTCTGTAGCAATGCCATGTCTCCTTTCCTCTTTTTCCATTTCAGGTTTTTATTTTTTAGTCATTTCATTTTGGATTTTCACAACATGAAACAGCTCAGTGGGATATCAGCAGAAGGTCTAGATGGATTACAGCTTTTCCATGACCAGAGAGAGCAGTTACAGCAAACGTGACATATGGAACAATCTTCTCAATCAGAGATGCCAGATTTCAGAAGGCAATTTTATATTTAGTCTTCATATTTGAAAAATGGGCAGATCATCTAATAGCAGTAGCATGATGTCTTAAAGACTGATATGTATTTTAAATCTAATCATGTCTGGTTTTCTCAATGCATTAAAGAAATGGCAGCATTTTATATAGAAATCAACTGTTATTTGCTGCAGCAATAAACCTTTCAGTATTCTTCTTCCCAAATTCACCCTTTAGGATCTAAGTATGAATAAGCAATATTTATTCACCTGCACCACTGCAAATTTCCATATGTTACATCACAACAGTGTCTAAATCACTCATGCCATATTGTTAATGAATAGTAAAATGACACTTAGGATTGTAATGCCAACCCTGTAAGGCATTGAGTGTCAACTCCCACTGCCTCTAATGGAAGTTAAGGGCACTCAGCACCTCTTCCTATTAGGCCTTAAATGAAAATACAGTTTTAAACCCAACCAACTTGTTGAGCTATTGCTATGGGGCCCAATCCTATATACTCTTATGCAAGTAGTAAGATGGATCCTGCACTACTTGAAATTTTTAAAAGACAATGTAGGTAGTAAGCAGTACTAAGACTGCTGCATTTGTAGGAGGTGCAACAGCTTGAGGCACTATGCTTCAAGACACAAGCTTGCTCTTTCCTTAGAAATCCATATCACTAAAGGGTGAAAAGTCTCATATTTACATATGATGACTGTTAAGTTCCTATGCAACAGCTGCATAGGCTGTGAGAGGTGATTTCATTGTGCTAAATTCATCCATGGTGTAACCCCCTTATTTTTAGTGAAGTTACATCCAGGTATCAATTTGGTCCCCTAAGTAGAAATCACAGTCCTGAGGCATTGAAATAATTCAGCAAGATTTGTCTGCTCATAACATGGTAACTAATTGCAAAGAAGTTATATGACATCATGTGGTTCAGTATCTGATTGTATTTTTAAATTAACCTTATTGATTTGCCACAAGTCTCTTAAACCATATGGCTGATAGCAAGACAAATGTTTATATAGAGTTTGCAGATGCTGTTTGGGAAGTGCATTTACAACAGTGAGAGTCAGGAGACAGGAATGTGGTATTATAAAATTAGAGTTTTTAAGATACTGTAAGTCAAAAATATATAGGCACTTCCCTGAGGTCAGTTTTACTAAAACATGAATATGAACATATGAAAATCCCTCTTCAGAAGATAATACTGACAATCAGGGTCCAGATGTCTCAGGAGTTTGGTAATGAGTACATGAAATGTTCACCTCTAGGCTACAGATTTAAATCCAGCCCCAGCTGGCAGCAATTGAAAGCTGTTGGTTTTCCAGTAGCCTCTGTAAAATGAGTTTGGTGATCTCAGTCTAGTTCTCAGAGGACAGATGTCCACAGCACAGAATCCACCACAGCAACTGCTGGCAGTCATAGCAGAAAGGTGAAGTAGTAAAGGGGCTATGGAGACTGAGATAGCTAAAGGTGGTACTTCTAGTTCACAGGTGTGGGGGTGAAGCTTGCTGGGTTGTTCTGTGGGGGAAATAAAGGCTTTAATCTCCAGGGGTGTCAAGATGGCATCTTTCATGAGTGCTAGAGAGTAAAAGGTAACAGCACAAAAGTTCATTTAAAAATTTTTGCATGGCATCATTAGTCCTTTAGTGATGTGTGGACACTGGGTTTGGAATTCTTCTCAACAGCTTGCCTAAGCAAGGACATACCTGAATCATCAAAAGTTTCTTATTCATGGTCAAAGTAACACGTTTGTACAGCACAGATGTAAAACCTAATTTGAGTTTTGTTTCCATTCAGTTTGCTGAAGTAATGTCAACAGGAATCCCAAAGCCTCTTCAGAATGCAGCAGGATTCGCTTTCCCAGGAAATACTCCCTGCTTCTGGTGTCATCACTGCACTCATGTTAAATTCAAGTCTGACTGAACAGGCTCATTATCATTCTCTCCATGTCTTCCCTCACAGCAACCTCCTCTCCTCTTGTTCAACACACCACAAACTGCAGGGGACTTGAGATTAGGGAAAAGAAAGGAAGTCAACGGCCTAACTCCTTGAAAACTTGCTGCGCTACTTTAAACTAGTTTCTTAAGTCTCATTTTAGGGGCTTTCCCCCCCAGACAAACAAAAGAAACTTAAAGAGGTGCCACACTATTGGTTTTTCTTTCTTCTTATTCAGTGGTGGACAAAGATTCGGGCATTTACAAATGCTTCTGAAATTGATTTTAAAAAACAAAATTCAGGTTCTGTTACTAGCCAGAACCGCAGTTTGCAGGAGGAGAAAGTTTGGCCGCCACACTCTTCATTAAACTTTGGTTTTCTACAACAGGGATTTCATGTTATCACTTACCCAGGTCTAACCCCGGGCGCAGTAACCAGGGCAGCTTCAGCAGGGCAGCCGCAGAGGGGAATCGTTCAACAACAGAGATGGGGCCAAATGAACAATTTCCAGCTTGGCTCAGGTTTGAATTGGGAACCTCTCTCCTGGCAATGGAGGGCATAGGTGCAGGAACTAGGGGTGCAGGAACTAGGGGTGCTGCCACACCCCCTGGCTTGAAGTGCTTTCCACCATCAGGGTTTACAGTTTGGTTCAATAGCTCTCAGTACCCCCACTATACGGATTGTTCCTGTACCCCTGATGGAGGGAGTGGGGGTTCTGATCCAGCCCCTGGCAGAGCCAGGCCCCTAATGATTGAAATCTACCATGCAGATCTAGATTGCTGAGACACTCACGCCCTGGGAGTTTGAAGGCTTCAGGAAGCCAGCTGGTCCCCCTCCCTATTCACCCCCATTTCTTTTCAGAGTATGACTGTTCCGTGCCAACAAGGGGTCGGTCTCCACTGTCAAAGAAAGGGGACAGCGCAGGGTTAACCTCGCGCATGGAGGGACTCCGATCGTTTTCAACCCCTCTGTGGGAGAGTCCAACACAAATATTGTGATTTTAGCTCAAGATCCAGCCACTCCTTCCTGGAGGTGAGTGGGGCCCACCTATCTTTGGCTGGATGTCAAAGGATTGTCACCTGGAGCAGGGAGAGAGGAGGAAGGATGCAGAATTAGCAGGCGAACAGCAGGTGTCTAGTAACTGCGACAGAAAATACAGCCCAAGAGTCCCCGTCTCCCCACCCCGGGGCCCCTCAGGGCGCTGAAGGGCAAAGGAACACACAGCTCCCATCGAGTTCTGCTCACCTCCTCTTCCCACAGGGCTACTCAAGAGCCAGCTGAACCTCACCGCCTGGCTCTGGCTTGGATTTGGCCGGTGCCAGCGCTTTGTAGGTATCTTAAAGGGGGCGGACAGGGGAAGGGTCCTGGATGGAATGTGCTCTGTCATGTTGCCCCTGCTGTGAGGTTCCCACCTAGCACACTGGGCTGGAGGATACACGATAAAGCCCACCCGTTTGCTGCAAGGACTCCCAACGCTGCTCTCGCTCCTGCCATGTGCTGCTGCTGCTAGTAGCTAGTCAAGCGTGTCTCCGGCTGCAAACTCCACCAAACAACACACTGCAGCCTCCTCCTCCTCCTCCTCCTCCAGGGAAAGAATCCAGTAAGTATTCACCGAGAGCCCTCCCCGCTCCACCCGGAGCACCCTGCGATCAGAGCTCCTGGGCTCTCCTCACAAAGGGAGTCGATTTCCCTTTGCCTTGCTGGCTCCCGTTCGAACTCACCGAGCCGCTGCCCCAGCCGGGCAGAGAAGGAGCTCCCCGGGATTCCCACCAAAGCCATAGAGCGCTCTCCTCTTCCTCCTGGCTGCCTCGCCTTGGCCACTCGACGAGCCGCTGCTGCATTCAGATGGGATGGTCTCCCCCACCCTCCCACGAGCCATGCTGCTGCAGCTTCCCACATCAGCCGGATGACTTCTCTGTTTGCTACTAGTGCCTGGCGCAGAGCTGGGCTGGTTCTTGGCGGTGCTGAGGTTGGAGGGAGTGGAGTGGGGGCGGGGGTCTGTGTGTGTGTGCGCTTCCTTCTCACCAGACGCAGCAGCTAGGAGGGAACAAGGCTGGCTGTTTTTCCTTGCCACCCTCAGGTCTGCGTCTCGCTAGCCTGTGGTACACTCACGTGTACACCAGTCAAATGTGTAATGCTGCAGTGGGCAGCCCACCACCACTACCGGAACAGCTCCAAATGGACTGGGCGAGCCAGCTGCTGAAGGACCCCGCTCGGGAGCGAACAACACCTCGGCTCTGACGCCCCATCTCAGTGCAGCCCCTGTATTTCCTCTTTCACTCAGACCCCCTCTCACTTTATTCCCCCCCTCCCCAATCTGGGTGTTCCCCTCCCCCACTTTACTCTCCAACCCTAAAACCTCCATTCCCTCTTTCCACCTTCCCTCTTGTATTGTATGTTTCTTTGCTTGGCAACCACCGGTTTCCCTCAGTCAAACGGCGCAGACTGCCCATCATTTGAAATTAATTTGTTTGACTGCAGCACCGAGACAGGAAGGTTGGGAAATTTATTTAATTCATTTCCCTCCCTGTGCAAAAGGAAGCGATGAAATTTCCAATCGAGACTCCAAGGAAACAGGTGAACTGGGATCCTCAAGGTTGGTGTTCCTGACTTTATGATTCTTGCTGGTATTATTATTCCTCCTGCGTGTGATTGGGAGGAAAGTGTTTGGGTCGGAATTGGAGTAGATGCTTCTTTACAGCCTGCTTCCCATGTGCACTGCTCAGTCTGTCTCATTTAGTCTTACCGGTGTCTTGAAGCTCGGAAATGTTACTAGGATCTGGGGGAAGGAAAAGCGAGATAAACCTTTTTTTCCCGATGTGACCTATTCCCCTTCCCCCCCAGTATTTTAGTATTTCCATTTCAAACTTGTCTGGGATAGCTGGGTTCACCGCATTGGTGCATTGTTTGTTTTATTTTATGCGTGGCTCCTTTGTTGTTTCTGGTGATCATTGTCTCTAGTACATGGGTGGTGTAGGGGTGGACACAGAGGTGACGTCTGGCTCTGGTGTCCTCGGTGGAGAATATCTCTCCGCAGGCAGCTGGGGTAAAAGGCTACTGCAATATGCCCTACAGAGTGGGCAGCAGGAAAGGCATGTTAAATAATGGAGCCCAAAGGGACCTTTCTACGCCTGACTCCATCCTATTAACAATCGATCAGCAGAAGCTGGTAGATTGATTAACTCTACACTTAGTTTTTCAGCGTGTTGGTGTGGGGGGAGGGGAATATGTCTACGCCAGTGCGGTGGTTTGCTGTAAAACGATCCAAGTTGTGTGTGTGGGTTTCTTTTTAAATACTTTCAGCGCCCGAGGCAGTTTGTATACGATCTATTGGCTAAGTGACTGAAAGGGTCCTGATCATTAGCATACTGACGTGCAATCTCTCTATAAACGATCACTAGAGGATCTGAACAACTTGAAGCCATATGTCCAGGTTTGCAGTCAGTAGCTGTTTAATAGCGCTCAGAGGAACTATGAAAGGATGGCATAGACTTGGATTATTGGTCTTTCTTCTGCGGGTCTGGTTTTGATTCTCTGCCACTCCACCCTGCTTAGCTACAAAATGGGACATTCAAAACATTTCTCCTAGTTCAGACCAACCAAAATGAGATCAATATCCTCAGGCTGAAGAGTGATGTAGTGTCTGAATAATAGAACATTAAGCTTTAGTTTAAGCACTGTTACCTGCTTAATATGGTGAAAGCTGAAATAGACACATAAAAACCCACCCTGTGGTTCACAACAGGAATGTGAGCATCAGTATCTCTTAAAATATTTTATCTCAATAAGTCCATGTTTATATAGCATCAGGTGTTCTGAAAGGCAGAATTTGGCAGCGTAAGCACTTGTAGAATGAGTGTAACAGCATCTTTGGTTGTTGTTTATTTGCTGCTGTCTCTTTTTTTGAATTTGATCTGACTGGAAATTGCACCAAAAATTTGAAAAAAAAAATCAACAAAAAATCACATATGGAATTATGGAATGGTGCTATTATGATGGCACCCTGTGTACCGCTCCATTATCTGGCAGTCAGCTCTGGGGGCGTGGGTCCCTCCAACAAGTGGTTGGTCACAACTCACCACGTGCATCCAAACCCTCAATTTGCCAAATCGGGCAAAAACCAGCCAGCACAGATGGTGTGTTTCTTCCTTCCTGAGTTGAATCCCTAGTAAGGACTGCAGGATTGGGCCTATTATTTTCCCCAACTGTACAGACATCAGTCAGGCATCAAGGATGCTGATGTATAACAAGGAAGTGAGCAAAAAAAGGCATGCTAATTTACAGCTTAATGACAAATACAGGAAATAGATAAATGTTAGCCCTGTGAAGGATAATATTAGTAGGGGAAAACATCTTGGGTCCAACCTTTACATGAGTACTCCCATAACATGCACTCTGTTGAATAGTCCCATTGAAGAACTAAACATGTGAATAAGGGATGCAGGTCTGAGTCCATAGGGTTCAGTTTTGAAAAGAAGATAAAATAAAAACTGCCCATACAAAAGCTCTAGGTACCCTAACAATTAATTAGACTTATAGCCACAGATGCTGTATGCAGTGTTGTTGTAGCTATGTTAGTCCCAGGATATTAGAGAGATAAGGTGGGTGAGGTAATATCTTTTATTGGACCAACTTCTATGGGTGAGAGACAAGCTTTTGAATTTACACAAAGCTCTTCTTCAGGTCTGGGAAAGGTACTCAGAGTGTCACAGTTAAATACAAGATCAAACAGATACGCTAAACTATGAGACTAAACTATCTGTTTGATCTTGTATTTAGCTATGACATTCTGAGTACCTTTCCCAGACCTGAAGAAGAGCTTTGTGTAAACTCATAAGCTTGTCTCTCTCTTACCAATAGAAGTTGGCCCTATAAAAGATGTCACCACACCCATCCGGTCACAGATAGATGCTATCCATTTGGTGATCTGCATGCATATATATGCAAAAGAATGGCAAGACTTTGAATACCATAATGTTTGTGGAGTTAAAGATAGCACTTTTTAGGATATGTCTACACAGCATCTGGGAGTGTGCTTCCCAGCTTGGGTAAACAGACATGCACCAGCTTTGCTTGAGCTAGGGCACTAAAAATAGCAGTGTGGCCATGGCAGCATGGGCAGTAATTCTGGCTAGCTATGGGACCTGCTTGACCTGCTGGGTACATACTCAGGTGGCTAGCTTGAGATGCCCCCGCAGCCACAATGCTATTTTTAGCACCTCTCTCTACTTACACTGGGAAGCACATTCCCAGCTGCAGTGTAAACATACTTTAAAGATCCACATGTGAAAATCTGTCAGTAAGAAGGCTGTGAAAGGGATTAAGAGATCTTAACTATTAAAAGAGGTGATTGGTGTTCCATCAGTAAGTAGCTTCATATATCTAGCTGCATTTAAATGCATGTCAGTTCAATATGCCTTGTTCTGATTGTCAGACACATAACCCATAAGGACCACAGTTTTGTCTAGCATGAATTTAACCAGAATATTGTACTCACTTGGGGTTAGATCCAAAAAGCGATTTAGGGGTCACAACACCTAACTTTTAGGTGCCTGCTGCCCAATTAAATCCTCAGCCTTGAGCTGGGTGCCCAGGCTCCCGTACGATGCATGAAGAGGGTTAGATACTCAGAATGGGATCTCCCGAAGCCAGGACCCTAAGTTAGCCAATAGGAGATGGCGAGGATTGTAGTTTAGGCACCAATCTCCTCTCAGCATTCACAGCTTTGAACCCTGTCCTGGAGTTAAGTGCCAAAGCCAGGTCTGTCCTTTCTCATTAGAAATCAGAGAGAGTGAGCACCCATTACAGCCAACAGCCCAGTGGCCAGGAAGCTCACCTGGGATATGAGAGCTCTGCTTTCAAATCCCTGCTCAGCTTCATTTGGAGCAGGGGCTTGAACTTGGGTCTCCCACATTCCAGGTGAGTGCCCAATCTCTTGCTAGCTCAATGAATATTTAATTAGTTATATGAAGTGGAACCATTTCAATAGGAGAGACCGAAAGACCCACCCCAGAATACTCAATAGCATAGGGGGGGCTTGGGCAATCACATTAGAGATGGGGACACCAGGTTCAAGACCCTGTTCCAATCAGGCAGAGGGGGGAACTTGAAACAGATCTCCCACATCCCCGGTGAGTACTATGACCTCTAGGCTATTATTCCTGATTTGTGTGCCCAGTGTCATCTTTCATGTGAGGCCTGATCCAGTAGGCATGCTCAGAGAACACCTACTAGATTGGGCCCCAAAGATGAGATCAGCGGCGAGGGGTTGGGAGGAAATGCCTAGACTGAGATTCCCACCACGGTTTAGCTGTGAGACCGGGTGCCAAGCAGCTTGGCAGCATCAGGATTTAAGCAGTTTCACACATGCCTACCTACAGAAACTGAGGCACTTAGGGAATTTAGGCACCCACAGCATTAGGTGGCAGCTAAATAGGGACTCTGAGGATCTCAGTGGTACCTAAATGTTGGATTTAGGGGACAAAAGTGGCAGTTAGGCACATAAGTACCTTTATAGATCTACAATATCTGAAGTACACCCATTTATGTTTCTTTGCTAGCAAGCCAGCAATTGGAAGATGTAACATGCTATAATGCGAGTGATGAGCATTATATTTAGAAACATACAGTTATTCTCAAGATAATTTTGTAACAAATGATCCCAGATGATGTTTTCCAGAAATGACATATATCTTCCAAAAGCCAAAGAACTTGTAATGGAGGATTGCATGAATCGGGGGCTGGTGAGGATGCTGGTTTGAATCCAGGTCAAGATATTAATCACTTAAATGAATTAGTGCTCAGATACCACAGCACTGGTTGCACTGCAAATATTTAGATAGGTAAATAAATTACCATCTAATGGCTCTTTTTTGGGCTTATATGAAATTGTTGTTCTCTATCCACACAACCAACACCCCCGGCTCCAAATAATGTACCATGAAAAGACTTTCTGAAAGGGTATACAGTGTATACAGGTGGAAATTGACAGAAGAGAAAGCAGGTGTTTAGCAGACAGCAAATGGGAGGCTGTTCAGTTTCTCAGCCATAACGCCAAGGAAGGAATGGATTGTGGAAACTGAATCATACATTTGCTCCTCCAGGTGATACCTCCAGGGGAGGGATGCCACATAATGGTAGTATGGTGCGGGATATTTGTGCTGTCACTGCCCAGGCTGCACCTTCACGCCTCTGCCCAGTTTTTCACACTTTGGCCCCAGTAATCACTTAAGTTCTGGGAATGGCCCTTTTATTGCTTTGAGGAACTCCGTCCAGCATTCCAGGATTTAAATAGGCTGGCACTTTTTAGGGAGCCTTAAAATTCACATTAATGAACACATCAGACACCTTCATGAACACTATTTGCTGGGGAAGAGTCAACATGGCTTTTGTAAAGGGAAATATTAGAATCCTTTGAGGGGGGCAACAAACGTGGACAAGGGTGATCCAGTGAATATAGTGTACTTGGACTTTCAGAAAGCCTTTGAAAGGTCCTTCGCCAAAGGCTCTTAAGCAAAGCAAGCAGTCATGGAATAAGAGGGAAGGTCTTCTCATGGATCAGTAACTGGTTAAAAGATAGGAAGAAAAGGGTAGGAA